ACCACATCGTATAAGTACTCAAGATCAGCAGAACGTCTAGCAGATATCGTTGACCGCTTCTTTTCTTTAGAACGAGATTTTCGTCTTCTCCAGGGTTAGAACTATTTCCGGGAAAAAGTTTCCAAAACAATGCTGAACAGCACAGCAAAGGCGAAATTATGAGATGAGGCGTAAGATGAAGGCATGCCACTAGCAGCGATGTTGTGCCTCAGCTTCGACTCACTTCCGCATTGTATAAGAAGCGCACTGACCTTACCTCATCGACAATACGAGATTGTCATTCGCCACAATTTTCAAATTCATCGGTGACAATCTTCCTCATGTTTATTGGCCAGAAAAAATTGCAAGTGGACATCCAAAGCATAGCGAGTCATATGGTTTTTAAGATGTTAATGTTCGTATTGTGAACAGCTTATTGTGATTTGTAATAAATAAACGAGTATCTTTGAAAGCATGAATAAGGTCCAATTCTAACTTGCACGAATCTCATAGGGACATCACCGCACCATAAGTTAACACCGTCCTTTGCCGGTGCGCTTTTACATAAATACGAGAATGCGGCAGCATCACAGCCAAGGGCCACAAAGAGCGCCTCGGTACAAAGACAAGATGGCATGGCACTGATCAACATCACGGTGCAAAGACACGCCAAGGCAAATGGCGAATGCAAACGCAAAATCTGTCTTTCGTAGCGGATGTAAAACAGACAGTACAAAAATGAATATAAATGTATTGAGGTCAAATGACTGGGTTAAACCATGAAAAAATTTTCTCAGGCAGGAGATAAGCAAAGCCTATCTTAACCAACATCCTTACTGAAATTAGGCAGTGCAACGGGACGTGCTATGGCCACACCAGATGACTTCGCAGTTACTACTGTTCGAAAATCACTGGCCTTCTACCCGTTTCTCGTCCGGTTGCAATGCAGCAACGGACGGAGGGAGAGGGATGGAGAGGAGTGAATTTTTTACTGAAGAAAATTTATGGCTAAGAGAATTTTTTGAGTGATTATGAGTTATGAGTTCGAAGCTAACCCGATATCACTGTGCCACCGCCCTCTGGTGTAATAATACCAAAAATTCTTAAATGCCATATTTTCAAGATGCTTAGGCGATGTTAATCTGGGTTGCTTCGTTGTAGAAGTTTTCTTCGGCCTTAGATCACGCTGGTCGAGGGCAATAGACAGAACAAAAGCACAGACTTGACTTGACCACGTTCCAACAGTAGGTTTGAGCCACAATTAAGCCTATCCCGTCGGCATGCAAAGCGCGATGAATGACGCATGTCCTAATTTGTAAGCAATAGCGTATTCTTCACACCACGCAATTATGGTGCTTAAAAGTGTTTTACTATCGGTTGATTTTTAAGCTACACTGAACCATGTCGTATCGAAAATTTGGGTCGAAATAGTGTACTCAAATAGCGACCCTATTAGCTGAGATTAAAGCCCTAGATTACCCTTTGTGCTAATTATTACAGTGAAGAGTTAGCCGTAGGTGGATTAAGGAAATTTGCAGCCCTAAGAGACTCTCACATCAGACTGCGTGATCATAGCACTCGGTCATTCGAGTTTGACCAAGGAAAATATCATGCCACTTGTCTTATTCACAAATCAAAGAATTGCCACTCGTTTCTCAGCTAAAAACATAGACATAGCATGAGGCGAATTATTGTCTCAAAAAAATTGGAGTCAACAAAAATTTTCTAGTTCGAAATTGGGAATCGACACATCCGGAGTTCGAAGTCGACTTGTTATCTGTTATGACACGCTTTGCATCGCTCACCGTCTCTTTGAAAAAACCCACTCTTTCGAGGATGGAACCATAAAGCTAATTATAATAATGCAATCGTTGTTCATTTGTTAATTTATTGTGGTCTGATATGTCAGTACTTTTAATAATTCTTTCCAGTGATGGATAAGCAACTACACATCAGATTCTGCTGCAGCAATGAAAAGAATTCAATTTCGACAGAGATTTGAGGGAATCTATGGAAGGTTAAGGTCCAACAGGATCTCAAGAAGTCTTTCATGGACTAAGGCTAGCAGAGAAATCGCAGCGGTGTGCATAATCGATTTCAATATGGACATCTAAAGTTTGCTCTTCGACCCTGATTAGTAAGTTAGACTGCCATGAGGAAGAATTTATTTCTATGTAATTTCGTCCGATGCTAAAAGGTCTAGTTTCGATGAAGCTTTCGAGCACGTGCTTTGCTGAAACACGAGCAGCTCAATCATAGTGAGCTCCTACCAACAATATGAAGAGTCTTAAAGTAATCATTAGGTGAACGTCTGAATTTAACTGGAAGAAGAAAAGCATATCGGAAGCCACTAGAGCCAAACAAGCCCAGAGCGAAACGAAGGAATCAACGGTTACCTATACGTTTTTTCGCCATCGCTACCGTGTTAGTTCTGCTCCGGTACTTAATTTACTGTTTGCTGTATTTATTTAGTTTCTTACCACTCATTTTGAAGCAAACCTGTCTAATTTACCCGATTATGTCCATTGTATGACATCTTAAAATTCAGGCAGCGAACCTAGTGCCAAAAGACTCGTCATTCAAACAGAGGGCGATATATAAGGTGTTACCATTCCTACAGGAGCTTAAACATGAGACGCATGATCATTTGAACTCTGCCCCGGAACTAACACCGGTTGGCACTCGTAAATGCGTTTTAGAATTGTGATTAATAAATTATTTACATCTAGCTCATACCAAAGTCATCGTTTATTTTAAAGAATGAGCCATGGCAAGTGATATATTTTCAAGAAAACATTCTGCTGCCTTAATTTAAGTTAATTATGCAAATAAATATAAAATTAAAAAAATTGACGTTAATTTTGGAAGTATTCATCAAACAAGTTAAGTCGCGTGATTATTTGCATTTTTGAAATATTGTTTTTTGCTGGGTTTAGTAAAGTACTGAAGTTATTCATGATTTTACACAACGACTGCTTCAAAGATGGTATATTGTAAATTATGTTGACTATGCTGCTGTTCTTCAGGCTATGATTAAGTTACAATAACATGGTAGTATAAACCAGTATACATTTGGGTATACACTGTACATTACTAAGCGTCACCTTCTTCGAAGATAATCTTTCACAACGTGTCTATATTACTGTACGTTACGAAATTGGTACTTACATGTCGACAATCCTTCGCTCCGTCTCGTTGATGCAGACATTATCGTTTTCCTCAAATAATC